AAAAAAACAAAAAAATATAAAGGAAAAAGTTAAGTTTTCGCCCAAATATCGTCTCACTAGGAAAAAAGGAAGAAAAAGAAAGAAAATTTTTTTTCAGAATATTCCGAAAGTTTATCTGTTTTATACTGTAAACTGAACTAAAATTTCATTAATCTGAAATTTAGATACAATTCATCATAAATGCTCCAGTCAGATAGTTTTGTATCATCTGATTGTATCGTTCTAATAGAACGATAAAAAAAATATTGTTCTAAAGGAACAATAATGAAATCGTTCTAAAAGAACAATTAAAAAAATATTCTTTCGGAATGATGAGTATCATTCTAAAAGAACGATAATAAAAATCGTTCTATCAAAATGATAATATATCATTCTAATAACGATAAAAAAAGTATCATTCTTTCAGAATGATTATGTAACGTTCTAATAGAATGATAAAAAATCATTCTAAAGGAACGATTATGAAATCGTTCCAAAAGAACAATGAAAAATAAATCGTTCTTTCAGAATGATAATAAAATCGTCCTTTTAGAACGATGAGTATTGTTCCAATAGAACAATAAAAAAATCATTTTAAAGAAACAATGATGAAATTATTCCGAAAAAACGATGAAAAAAAAATCATTCTGAAAGAACGATAATAAAAAAAAATCATTCTAAAGAAACGATGAGTATCGTTCCAATAGAACGATAAAAAAATCATTCTAAAGAAACGATGATGAAATTGTTCTGAAAGAACAAAGAAAAAAAATCATTCTTTCAGAACGATAATAAAAAAAACATCATTCTGAAAGAACGATAAAAAAATTGTTCTTTCAGAACGATGATGAAATCATTCTGAAAGAATGATGATGTATCATTCCGAAAGAATGATAAAAAAAATCATTCTTTCAGAATGATAATAAAAAAAAATATCATTCTTTCAGAACGATGATGTATCATTCTGAAAGAACGATAATAAAAATACATTATTCTTTTGGAAAAGAATGATAACTATATCATTCCATTTGTGACGATTGTTTGTTCCTTTAGGGAAGATTACTATCATTTCTTTGGGATGATTTTTATCATCCTTTTGGGACGATTGTTCATTCCTTTAGGGACGATTTCTATCATCTCTTTAGGACGATTACTCTCAGAATGTTTTTATTATTTTTGTAAAAATTAGCGTAACAGATTTCGACCAGTCGATTTGTTACCAAATCTTGAGTCTTACTGAAATTTTGCTGAATATTATAACCAAGCCTAAATAATGCTAAATTATGTGTGATATAACAAATTACTATCGATTTTTGTAACTTGAGTCGAATTTTTGTTAAATCACATGACCGAATCGACTGAATGTTTGACGAAAGGTCTTAATGCCGAAATAATGCTAAATTATATGTGATGTAGCAAATTACTATCGATTTTTGTAATTTAAGCCAAATTTTTGCTAAATCACATGACCGAATTGGCTGAATGTTTACCGAATGGTATTAGTGCTGAATGAAATAATTTTGACTAGTGACATCTATAGTTTATTATTGCTAGCATCTAAAATTTTATCATTATATATTATAAGTCTAAACTCTAAACCTTCTGACTATTACATTGTAATTATACAAGTAACAATCTCAGAAATCATATAAAGAACAGTATTTTCTAAAATAGGCAAAAAGCTAATCTTTCTATATGATAAGACTACTAAGGTTATTGGTCTGTTTTTGCTGATAAAACTTATATCCTATTAAAATTATGTCACCTAATATCTATATTATCTAATTATTTAAAAACATATGTGTGGATCGGACTTTTTCATTAATTAAATAATTATGAGATAATTATGAATTTTGTGATATAAATAACCATTTGCCAATCATATAGCTAGAAAAAAAATTTTTTATTGCCAAAAGTAGAAAATGCTAATTGTCAGCTAATCATCTATTTTTGGTAATTCAATAAATTCAAAAAAAAAAAACTTGATTTATCGTAAGAATTTTATTTTTATATTATATACTCTTGTTAAATTAAAAATATGCAAGAAAATTTTCAATTTCAAACGGTACTTACACTATATAATATGCAACAACAAAATAAGAAGCATAATAATCAATCTACTTTAAATACACTCCATAATAGTACACCTTTATTTCAACAGTCTTTAACATCACCACAAAAAAATAATATTACTATAACTCATGACTACCCTAATAATAAAAAGATACATGTTCTTCGTACATTGAGTAACTGAATTACTACATATATATACAATATATTATTTCTTGGATTTTATCCAAAAATATCAAAAACTACTAAGTAAACCATTAAAAATGGATCTGTTTATATAATATCTGATAGTTATATGGTTCAATTATGTGTATACAGTACAGAAGTTATTTGTTCAACCCAATATCAATTTAATGGTAATGTAAAATTTATTGTAACCTGGGATAAATCTAATGGTCAAAAAGAATCAGTATATAGCTTAAATCATCAAGTGATGTAGGACATCTTTTTTTAAAGGTAAATATTATATATATATATTTTTTTAAAAACATTAAAAATTTATAGTTAAAATTTTAATTATTATTTATTTAATATATTAGAAATTAACAGGCAAAACAAATACACGATTATCAGGAATAATTTTATTTGGATTTGATCTCGAATGTTTACATGTAATCAGAAATGCTAAAAATGAATTTGATAAAGTAACTACACCAGCAAATCGAAAATGCCCATATAATGAACTTCATTCAAAATCACAAAAAAATAAAAGACTAATTCTTGCAGCAAAAGATATTAATTCTCAAATTTCAAATGTTTTACATGATCATAAATTACTATCTACAACGAATATAAATAATACAATCCTTAAAAATGTAACTTTTAATATTATAGGTGAATCAGTAAAACTTAATTTTTGCTCAATTCAAAGTGAAAGTAGAAATCAGATTGTTGATTCTATTGTTCGTGCTTGTGATGAAAATCTGATATCTCGAGATGGATATCGAAGATTAGCTGCTATAAATCCTGATTTAGAAAGAGAATATGTAATTGAAGATTAACGAGCATTTATTGAAAAAAAAATGAATGCTATAATTTCTATTCATACTTTTAATATTGAAACAATATTTATAGATAATGCAATTACTAATATTCAAAATAATATTGAAAATATTGAATTTAATGATAATGAAGTTAGAAATGGAGCATATCGGTCTATAATATCATTATTACATATACTTGTACTAATTCTTTTAACTTCGAATCCTCCTGTTTTGAATTATGCAGATACAATTAATTTGAAACTAGGAGGAGATGGTAGAAATGTAAGATGTACTCAAAATCATGTTATGCTTACAATATATATACTTAATGAAGGAGAAGTTGTTTTAAAACCAAATCATTAATACAGGTAAATAATATTATACTATATATGTAAATAATATTTATAATTTATTAATTTATATATATTTATATAATATACAGTATTTGTTTATATATAGGACATGAATCATATCGCTATTTATATTCAGTTAATGAAAAATTTATTCATGAGTTAAATATCTTAAAAACTTGTAGATTTAAAGACAAGTTTAATTTTATTTGGCAAGTTGAATTATATTTTTCAGGAGATTGAAAATTTTTAGCATTTGTTTTGGGAATAAATGCTCCAACTTCAAATTATTTTTGTTTATATTGTGACTGTCATAAGAATGATCGTTATAATATGGATTGAGTTTGGAATAATACAAAAAATACTAAAGGTAAATTCAATAATATTTTATTTATTTATTATTTCCAAATTAAATTTGCTAATTTTATTTATATATATTAATAGGATATAAGAATCTGAAACTATTTACGGCTATTGATAATGCAAATTGAATCCCTGATGAATTACATATAATGTTGCGAATTTCTGATATTTTAATGCAATGCTTCTTTTATGAGCTTATGCATAAAAAAAAAGAATTTGCAGATATTACACATTTATTAATAATTAAAGAAATAAAAAACCTTGGTATTAATTTCAAACTATATCCACCTTCTACTTTTAATAGCTTATGGATATGGACTTCATTAATAGGACCTGACAAATTAAAGATGTTAAAAAATTTTCCAGTTACATATTTTTTTAATCAATTACAAAATTAACATGAACAGCAAATTCAAAATCTTTGGCGAAAATTTTATGAGCTTTATATGACTATGCGACAATGTGAATTAACTGATCAAGATATTAATAAATTTGAAAAGGATGCAAAAGATTGGGGTTATACATTTTGTCGTCCTACTATTGGTATAATGAATGATGCAAAACAACAACCTGGCATGTATTCACGAAAGAATGTTACACCTTACATGCATGCATTTGCTCAGCATGTATCACAATTTATGTGTTATTTAAAACAAAAAAATTATCTTTTCGGCTTTTCTCTACAAGTAGTCTAGAAAAAAAAACCATAATCATGTAAGATTTATTTTATAAATAATCTTTTATTACTTAATTTCTAAAAATCAAACATCAATTTTAGGTACATCTCTTTTTTGGTGGAACTACAATGGGAGGGGAAAAATTGAAAAAGCCAGTAGTATATTTTATTCTTCAATTTGAAAATCGTCAACTTTATTATTTAATCAATAATACTCATACTGAATATAATCAAAAGCTTATTAATTGTTCTGAAAATTGATCAATCTCTTCTATATTTTATATTATATTAATTTAAATAAACAGCAAATTTTCAATTATTTTTATTTAAAAAAAATTAAAAAATTATACATAAAAATTTCTAATTCAAAATTTTACATTAAATAGATAAATTCTATTAATTCTATTTAATTATCTATCCTAAATAAACAATTTTACATTAATAATGGAATAATATAAATTATATTTTAAAATATTTTGTTACTTACTTGAAAATAAAATCTTGAACATCGGTCTTAAATGAATATATCATTGAATCACATGATAACGGATAATAATGTTTTTTATACACATGTTCTTTTCAGATAAAACTAACTTGATATGTTTTGGTATTATCTTCCATTAAGATATAAGCAGTAGTACCAGACTCATCCTCTCTGCTACCCCATTTGTTATCTTCTAATAAGTTTCTTATTTCATTATATCCTACACTTCCCTGAAAATTAACAACATATTTTCTTTGTGATGCAATAAAACAAAAAGTAGGAGAGTTATAAAAAAGAACAATAAATAATCCTTCTGAAAAGGGTTCCAATATAATTTTTTTGTTTTTATTTACACTATGACTAAATTGGAGACGCTCCTTTACTTGAATAATAAACGCGTTTTTAAATTATTTAAAATCATAAGTTGAAGGTGTTATTATAATAGATAAGTGAGGAATAACTTTATTATTAGGATGTTTATGTTTTTCATGATTTAAAAGAGAACTTTGAGATCAGTATGAATAGCGGGAGTTTGATAGACAAAGGAGGCAAAGATGTGTTGACATAATTATTTAACAACTACGTAACTCCAATTAGAAATTATGTGATATTTGATGTAGATCACTAAACAATATTTAATTATCACATATGTTGAGCCGAATCCGCCCATATGAATCTATACCTTGAATTTTATTAAAACTATCTGCAAATTAAAGTTGCAAAATAAATGATTTTACACAAATTCTTAGCATATTATAATTATAATTTTAGATCCAAATATTAAAAAAAGATTTTAAATTTCTTTTTAAAAATTTAAAAATTAGATTGTCTCACTAGACAAATTATTCACTCTGATATAGTCAAAAACTCTTAGCTCTTCTTATACAATAAAGTGAATCCTTATTAGGCATTATTTCAATGGTCACAAAAATTAAAGAGAATGAAACATAAACTAACTTGATTAAAGAGGCACTTGAACAAAATATATTAACTTTAAAAATAGTCAATCCAAAATGATAGATTCTATTTTCAATAGAAAGAGAAGCATAATTGTAATTAACAGATATCTTAATAATTCAATAAAGTACCTTAGACTCTAATATCTGCTAGTGATATAAAGAAAAATGCTCATCATTTTCAACATATTACAGATCAAAAAATAATATAATTGATATTTCAGATGAATAGAAGAGATAGATCTCTTATTTTATAGTGATTTAATGAGTGTAATATTAAAAAGTGAATAGATTCAATTTTTAAGTTCACTTTTTAACGGAAAAACTCTTAAACTATCAAAGATCTTAAATAAAATATTAAAATATATTAGACCGCTTACTCACAAAATCATTTGGACCTTTATCTATATATGACTTGAGTTATCTAAACACTTAAAATTTAACCTTAGTATATCTAATCATAAAACTTAAACCTGAGAATTTAACTTAAATAATATTTATTCAATTACTTTACTTGAATGTTTACGTAAAGCATTAATAAACTAATCAATAAAAGATTGCTCTTTATCTTATCATCAAACAAAATTTTAAAAGGTAATAACTAGGGTTCCGCAATTCGATTTGATATTTGAATATTTGATTTGAAAATCAAATCAAATACAAATTCAAATTTATATT